CTTCGCCCACCGCATGCCCCCTTCTCCCACCGCATGCCCCCTTCCCGCATGGCATGCCCCCTTCCCCCACTGCATGCCCCCTTCCCCCACCGCATGCCCCCTTCCCCCACCGCATGCCCCCTTCCCCCACCGCATGCCCCCTTCCTCCACCGCATGCCCCCTTCGCCCACCGCATGCCCCTTTCGCCCACCGTATGCCCCCTTCGCCCACCGCATGCCCCCTTCCCCCACCGCATGCCCCCTTCACCCACCACATGCCCCTTTCCCCACCGCATGCCCCCTTCCCCCACGGCATGCCCCCTTCGCCCACGGCATGCCCCCTTCCCCCACGGCATTCCCCCTTCGCCCACCGCATGCCCCCTTCCTCCACCGCATGCCCCCTTCCCCCACCGCATGCCCCTTTCGCCCACCGCATGCCCCCTTCGCCCATCGCATGCCCCCTTTCCCCACCGCATGCCCCCTTCCCCCACGGCATACCCCCTTCCCCCACCACATGCCCCCTTCCTCCACCGCATGCCCCCTTCGCCCTCCGCATGCCCCCTTCGCCCACCGCATGCCCCCTTCCCCCACCGCATGCCCCCTTTCCCCACCACATGCCCTCTTCGCCCACCGCATGCCCCCTTCGCCCACCGCATGCCCCCTTCCCCCACCGCATGCCCCCTTCGCCCACTGCATGCTCCCTTCCCCCACCGCATGCCCCCTTCGCCCACTGCATGCCCCCTTCCCCACCGCATGCCCCCTTCGCCCACTGCATGCTCCCTTCCCCCACGGCATGCCCCCTTCCCCCACCGCATGCCCCCTTCCCCCACCGCATGCCCCCTTCCTCCACGGCATGCCCCCTTCGCCCACTGCATGCCCCCTTCCTCCATCGCATGCCCCCTTCGCCCATCGCATGCCCCCTTCGCCCACCACATGCCCCCATCCCCCACCGCATGCCCCCTTCCCCCACCGCATGCCCCTTCGCCCACCGCATGCTCCCTTCTCCCACAGCATGCCCCCTTCCCCCATGGCATGCCCCCTTCCCCCACCGCATGCCCCCTTCCCCCACCGCATGCCCCCCCTTGCCCACCGCATGCCCCCTTTCCCCACCGCATGCCCCCTTCCCCCACCGCATGCCCCCTTCGCCCACGGTATGCCCCCTTCGCCCACCGCATGCCCCCTTCCTCCACCGCATGCCCCCTTCGCCCACCGCATGCCCCCTTTCCCCACCGCATGCCCCTTTCGCCCCCCGCATGCCCCCGACACCCACCGCATACCCCCTTCCCCGACCGCATGCCCCCTTCACCCACCGCATGCCCCCTTTCCCCACCGCATGCCCCCTTCCCCCACGGCATGCCCCCTTCGCCCACCGCATGCCCCCTTCCTCCACCGCATGCCCCCTTCGCCCACCGCATGCCCCTTTTCGCCCACCGCATGCCCCCTTCGCCCATCGCATGCCCCCTTCGCCCACCGCATGCCCCCTTCCCCCACCACATGCCCCCTTCACCCACCGCATGCCCCCTTTCCCCACCGCATGCCCCCTTCCCCCACGGCATGCCCCCTTCCCCCCACCGCATGCCCCCTTCCTCCACCGCATGCCCCCTTCGCCCACCGCATGCCCATTTCGCCCACCGCATGCCCCCTTCCCCCACCGCATGCCCCCTTCCCCACCACATGGCCTCTTCGCCCACCGCATGCCCCCTTCGCCCACCGCATGCCCCCTTCCCCCACCGCATGCCCCCTTCGCCCACTGCATGCCCCCTTCCCCCACGGCATGCCCCCTTCGCCCACCGCATGCCCCCTTCCCCCACCGCATGCCCCCTTCCTCCACTCCACGGCATGCCCCCTTCGCCCACTGCATGCCACCTTCCTCCATCGCATGCCCCCTTCGCCCATCGCATGCCCCCTTCGCCCACCGCATGCCCCCTTCGCCCATCGCATGCCCCCTTCCCCCACCGCATGCCCCCTTCCCCCACTGCATGCCCCCTTCGCCCATCGCATGCCCCCTTCGCCCACCGCATGCCCCCTTCGCCCACCGCATGCCCCCTTCCCCCACCGCATGCCCCCTTCGCCCACTGCATGCCCCCTTCCCCCACGGCATGCCCCCTTCGCCCACCGCATGCCCCCTTCCCCCACCGCGTGCCCCCTTCGGCCACCGCATGCCCCCTTCCTCCACGGCATGCCCCCTTCGCCCACTGCATGCCCCCTTCCTCCATCGCATGCCCGCTTCGCCCATCGCATGCCCCCTTCGCCCACCGCATGCCCCATTCGCCCACCGCATGCCCCCTTCCCCCACGGCATGCCCCCTTCGCGCACCGCATGCCCACTTCCCCCACCGCATGCCCCTTTCCCCACCGCATGCCCCCTGCCCCCACGGCATGCCCTCTTCGCCCACCGCATGCCCGCTTCCCCCACCGCATGCCCCCTTCCCCCACCGCATGCCCCCTTCCTCCACGGCATGCCCCCTTCGCCCACTGCATGCCCCCTTCCTCCATCGCATGCCCCCTTCGCCCATCGCATGCCCCCTTCGCCCACCGCATGCCCCCTTTCCCCACGGCATGCCCCCTTCCCCCACCGCATGCCCCCTTCCCCCACCGCATGCCCCCTTCGCCCACCGCATGCCCCCTTCTCCCACCGCATGCCCCCTTCCCCCATGGCATGCCCCCTTCCCCCACCGCATGCCCCCTTCCCCCACCGCATGCCCCCTTCCCCCACCGCATGCCCCCTTCGCCCACCACATGCCCCCTTTCCCCACCGCATGCCCCCTTCCCCCACCGCATGCCCCCTTCGCCCACGGTATGCCCCCTTCGCCCACCGCATGCCCCCTTCCTCCACCGCATGCCCCCTTCGCCCACCGCATGCCCCTTTCGCCCACCGCATACCCCCTTCGTCCACCGCATGCCCCCTTCCCCCACCGCATGCCCCCTTCGCCCACGGTATGCCCCCTTCGCCCACCGCATGCCCCCTTCCTCCACCGCATGCCCCCTTCGCCCACCGCATGCCCCTTTCGCCCACCGCATACCCCCTTCGCCCACCGCATGCCCCCTTCCCCACCGCATGCCCCCTTCACCCACCGCATGCCCCCCTTCGCCCACCGCATGCCCCCTTCCCCCACTGCATGCCCCCTTCGCCCACAGCATGCCCCCTTCCTCCACCGCATGCCCCCTTCGCCCACCGCATGCCCCTTTCGCCCACCGCATGCCCCCTTCGCCCATCGCATGCCCCCTTCGCCCACCGCATGCCCCCTTCCCCCACCACATGCCCCCTTCACCCACCGCATGCCCCCTTTCCCCACCGCATGCCCCCTTCCCCACTTCATGCCCCCTTCCCCAGCGCATGCCCCTTCCTCCACCGCATGCCCCCTTCGCCACACGCATGCCCCTTTCGCCCACCGCATGCCCCTTCGCCCATCGCATGCCCCCTTCGCCCACCGCATGCCCCTTCTCCACCGCATGCCCCTTCCCCACCGCATGCCCCCTTCGCCCATCGCATGCCCCCTTCCCCACCGCATGCCCCTTCCCCACCGCATGCCCCCTTCCCCACTGCATGCCCCTTCCCCCACCGCATGCCCCCCCTTCGCCCACCATGCCCCCTTTCCCCACCGCATGCCCCTTCCCCACCGCATGCCCCCTTCGCCGACGGTATGCCCCTTCGCCCACCGCATGCCCTTCCCCCCACGCATGCCCCTTCGCCCACCGCATTCCCTTTCGCCACCGCATGCCCCTTCGCCCACCGCATGCCCCCTTCCCCCACGGCATGCCCCCTTCGCCACCGCATCCCCCTTCCCCACCGCATGCCCCCTTTCCCCACCACATGCCCTCTTCGCCCACCGCATGCCCCCTTCGCCCACCGCATGCCCCCTTTCCCCACCGCTTGCCCCTTCCCCCACCACATGCCCCCTTCGCCTACGGCATGCCCCCTTCGCCCACCGCATGCCCCTTTCCTCCACCGCATACCCCCTTCCCCCACTGCATGCCCCCTTCGCCCACCGCATGCCCCCTTCGCCCACCGCATGCCCCCTTCCCCCACCGCATTCCCCCTTTCCCCACCACATGCCCTCTTCGCCCACCGCATGCCCCCTTTCCCCACCGCTTGCCCCCTTCCCCCACCACATGCCCCCTTCGCCTACGGCATGCCCCCTTCGCCCACCGCATGCCCCTTTCCTCCACCGCATACCCCCTTCCCCCACTGCATGCCCCCTTCGCCCACCGCATGCCCCCTTCGCCCACCGCATGCCCCCTTCCCCCACCGCATTCCCCCTTTCCCCACCACATGCCCTCTTCGCCCACCGCATGCCCCCTTCGCCCACCGCATGCCCCCTTCCCCCACCGCATGCCCCCTTCGCCCACTGCATGCCCCCTTCCCCCACGGCATGCCCGCTTCGCCCACCGCATGCCCCCTTCCCCCACCGCATGCCCCCTTCCCCCACCGCATGCCCCCTTCGTCCACGGCATGCCCCCTTCGCCCACTGCATGCCCCCTTCCTCCATCGCATGCCCCCTTCGCCCATCACATGCCCCCTTCGCCCACCGCATGCCCCCTTCCCCCACCGCATGCCCCCTTTCCCCACCGCATGCCCCCTTCCCCCACGGCATGCCCCCTTTGCCCACCGCATGCCCCCTTCCTCCACCGTGTGCCCCCTTCCCCCACTGCATGTTGCCAAGTAGTGCCGAATAGCGCCAAATAGTGCGGAATATCCGGTTGTCGAATATTTGACGAAACCGAATATGTGCAGCGCGAATAATGACCAATAGCAAGAGCTAGTTGTATTCGCCAAATATCGAGGTATTCGCTGGAAGATCGAATGGTGCCGGAATATCGAATGGTGTCCGAATATCGAATGGTGCCCGAATATCGAATGGTGCCCGAATATCGAATGGTGCCCGAATATCAAAGACTTCATTTACAGGCCTATCCGTAAGGCACCCTCTCTCTTCGCCCCCTTTGCCTTGAGGGCTAATGGCAGGCCTTCAAAACCTTCCCTCCCCCACTCCCTCATCCCGCCTCTCTCCCCCCCTTCCAGTGCCAACGCGGGTCAGCCCCTCCCCATGCCCCCGCCATCCACCGACCCCCTGCTCCCCCCTGGGTCCCAAACCACCCTCGCTCTGCGCCGCCTGTGCCTCAAGGACCAACGGCAGGCCGCCATGTGGCAGCCAGTCATGGAGGCGTGTGGGGGGACACTGGGGACGCTCATTCTGGGGAGGAACACGGGCAATTGGGACGCGGCTATAGAGGGGCTGGTGGCGAGGAACAAAACGGCAGTTCTGAAACAGGTGAGGCAGGAGGTAGCAGCGATGGTGGCATGTGGGGGGGCGCTGGGGACGCTCATTCTGGGGGGGACACGGGGAGCTGGGACGGGACGTGGCTATGGAGGGACGGCTGGCGGCGAGGAACAAATCAGTGGTGCGAAAACAGGTGAGGAGTGAGGTATGGATGGTGAAAAGGGTAAGCTTTAGGGAATTGGGACGTGGCTGTGTAGGGTGGCTTGTGGCTAGAAACAAAGCGGCTGTCTTGAAACAGGTGGGAACGGAGGAATGGGTGGTGAGGAGATCAGTGTGGTGAGCCGGGTGGTGTCACAATTCAGCAGCCTTCTCGTGCTCCACACCTTACCCGTCAATACAGCGGCAAATACAAAAGAATTGAGGTGCGTGGATTATATCACTGGTATGTATGTGTAGTAGAGCGGCTGGTCTTCCTCCCTTGACCTCCAGCATGCCTTTTCTATGTCCCTCCTCTACCTCCTTATCTTCCCAATCCGCCCCTCTCCTAGCTTCTCTTTCAACAGCTGCTGGTTGAAAAGACTCTCCTCTTGGGCCGTTCTCTCCATTCTCTTTCCCAGTTCCGTACCACCCTCCCTCTCCCCGCTCTGCTCTCCCCTCTCCCCGTTCCGCTCTCCCCTCTCCCCTCTCCACTCTCCCCTCTCCGCTCTCCCCTCTCCGCTCCCCCCTCTCCGCTCTCCCCTCTCCGCTCTCCCTCCTCCCTCCCTCTTTCCCACAGCTGCTTGTTGAGGATACCAAGGTGCAAAAAAACAGCGTTTTTTTTCATAATTTGACCGCATGGTACAGTACCGAAGATTTTCAGCCGTTTAATACAATAAAAACGGTCAGAAGCGCCAAAATGGGGGTGGTGCAAAAAAAACGTGCCTTTTTTTTACCAGCCTGGAATATATGGCCGAAAAGCGCGGATCTGGCATTTTGACCGTCGAAGTGCGCGGATTTCGCGTTTCGGCTTGTGAAATGCGCGGATCTGGCATTTCGCCTCCAGAAATGTGCGGACCTCGCACTTCGCCTGCCAAATTGCATGGGTCTCGCGCATCGGTGGGCGAAATGTTAGATCTGCGCATTTCACCTGCCGAGATGCGCGGATCTGTAATGTGTGTGGATCCGCAAAAAAAAAAAAAAAAAAAATCCAAAAAAAAAAAAAAAAAAAAAAAAAAAAAAAAAAAACCCGAAGTTCAAACAAAAAAACGGCGTTTTTTCATAAAATGGCCGGAAAATACGATCACTGTATTTTTGCACCTTGGAGAATACCCTCCTCTCGGGCCGCTCCTGCACGCCCTCGCCCAGTGCCCCCATCTCCAGCTGATGGGCATCGTGCATCCGCCGCACTGCACTGATGCCCGCATGCCTGCTGCGCTTACTGTGGTTGCCTTCGGCTGCTGGGTGTTGCCCGCAGCTGTGCTGCAACTGACCCACCTCTCTCCCCTGCTTTCCTACCTCCCCAACCCCCCCACCTCCACCTCTCCATGTCTCCTTTCAGTTATTGGTGGAGAAGACCCTTCTTTCAGATCGCTCCCTCCATGCTTTGGCCCAGTGCCCCGGTCTCGAGCTCATGGGCATCGTGCATTCGCCGCACTGCACCGACGCTGGCATGGCTGCTGTGGCTGCTGGGTGCCCCCAGCTGCGGTGGGTTCACATCGACGGGTGGTCCTCGGGGCACATTGGGGATGCTGGATTGACTGCCATCGCCAAGCACTGCAGTCAGCTGCAGGTAACATGTCGACTGTAACACTGCAACAAGCATGGGGACATGCTGGTGGTGCTGTGGCTGGTGGATGCCCCTGGCTGCGGGGGTGCACATCAGTGGGCTTGTCGTAAGGGCACATTGGAGATGCTGGGTTATCAGCCATCGCCAAGCATTGCAGTCCGCTTCAGGTGAGATGCCAGCTGCTGTGCCTGCTGGGTGTCGTCACCCGCACTGGGTGCTGGGTATCGTCACCCGCACTGTGTGCTGGGTATCGTCAACTGCACTGGGTGCTGGGTATCGTGACCTGCACTGGGTGCTGGCTATCGTCACCTGCACTGGGTGCTGGGTGCTGTCACCTGCACTGGTTGCTGGGTGTCGTCACCTGCACTGGGTGCTGGGTGTCGTCACCTGCACTGGTTGCTGGGTGTCGTCACCTGCACTGGGTGCTGGGTGTCGTCACCTGCACTGGGTGCTGGGTGTCGTCACCTGCACTGGGTGCTGGCTATCGTCACCTGCACTGGGTGCTGGGTGCTGTCACCTGCACTGGTTGCTGGGTGTCGTCACCTGCACTGGTTGCTGGGTGTCGTCACCTGCACTGGTTGCTGGGTGTCGTCACCTGCACTGGGTGCTGGGTGCTGTCACCTGCACTGGTTGCTGGGTGTCGTCACCTGCACTGGGTGCTGGGTGTCGTCACCTGCACTGGGTGCTGGGTGTCGTCACCTGCACTGGGTGCTGGCTATCGTCACCTGCACTGGGTGCTGGGTGCTGTCACCTGCACTGGTTGCTGGGTGTCGTCACCTGCACTGGGTGCTGGGTGTCGTCACCTGCACTGAGTGCTGGGTGTCATCACCTGCTCTGGGTGCTGGGTGTCGTAATCGGCACTGGGTGCTGGTGTCGTCACCTGCACTGGGTGCTTGGTGTCGTCACCTGTACTGGGTGCTGGTGTCATCACCTGCACTGGGTGCTGGTGTCATCACCTGCACTAGGTGCCACATTGGTGGATGGCTGCCTGGGCAAGCAACCAAACAACCTCACTTACCTCTCAAGGCAACTGCAACCCCCTTCCCCCCCCTGTCATCCCCAACAGGACCTGGTCATAGTGGGGGGCTCCTGCACCCTCGCCTCTCTGCAACAACTCGCATCCGGCTGCCCCAATCTCGACCGCCTCACTCTCTGCTACATGCGCTCCATAGGCGACGACGAGGCGTCCTGCATTGCCACGTCGTGCCGCAAGCTGCGCCGCCTCTGCCTGCTCGCCTGCCCCAACATCACTGACGCAGCCGTCCTTTTCCTCGCCACGGGCTGCCCGAGCCTCGCCACGTTGAAGCTTCGACGCTGCCCGCTGGTGACCCGGGCAGCGCTGGACATGTTGCATGAGGCACGGCCAGAGATAGAGATCAGTGATGAGGAGTCGGCAGCGAATGCACAGGGGGAGCAGGGGGAGGGGGGAGGAACTGGGGTTGCTGGTGCTGCTGGTGCTGCTGGTGCTGCTGCTGGTGCTGCTGCTGGTGCTGCTGCTGGTGCTGCTGCTGGTGCTGCTGCTGCTGCTGGTGCTGGTGCTGTGCTGGTGCTGGTGCTGGTGCTGGTGCTGGTGCTGGTGCTGGTGCTGGTGCTGGTGCTGGAACTGGTGCTGGTGCTGGTGCTGGTGCTGGTGCTGGTTCTGGTTCTGGTGTTGTTGGTGTTGCTGGTGCTGCTGGTGCTCCTGTTGCTGGTAGTGCTGCTGCTGGTGCTGGTGCTGCTACTGCCTCAACCGCTTCTGCTGTTGGCAGAGAGCGAAGCACAAGTGCCGCGGCAGAAGCAGCAGCATCTGCCGGAGTGTCACCAGCAGCCGTGGCAGCAGTCACAGCAGCAGCTGTCATCGCTGTAGCAAGCAGGGTGCACCCTGTGCCTCTTGCTGCTGCCCCTCCTGCGGCTGCTGCAGCACCTCCTTCTCCTGCTCGCACTGCTCTTTCCCCATCTTCCCCGTCTCGTTTGGCTCCTGCAGTCGCCTCTGTTACTCGTGACGGTGCTGCCGGTGTTGTTGGTGCGGCTGGTGGTGTTGGTGCTGCTGGTGTTGTTGGTGCTGCCAGTGCTGGTGCTGCTGGTGGTGGTGCTGGTGCTACTGGTGCTTTCCCTCCCAGTATTGCAAGCCCTGGTGTTGATAGCAGAGAAGCCATGGGAACAAGTCATAGGGCCATGACTCAAGCTCCAGAGGCACATGCACATGGGCATGGGCATGGGCATGGGCATGGGCATGGGCATGGGCATGGGAATGGGCACACTCACACTCAATACACTTACTCTCAACCCACTCACACTCACCCCACTCACTCTCAACTCACTCGCTCTCTCCCCACGCACTCTCACCCCAACCACTCTCTCCCCACACACTCTCACCCCACCCACTCTCTCCCCATGCACTCTCACCCCACTCACTCTCTCCCCACTCACTCTCAACCCACTCACACTCACCCCACTCACTCTCAGGCCCCTCACTCTCAGGCCCCTCACTCTCAGGCCCCTCACCCCGGTCCATCTCACACTGCCGCTCTACCACCCATCTCTTATGCTGCTGGATCTTCAGCCGCAGCAGCAGCTAGTCAAACAACAGCAGCAGCAACAACAGCAGCAGGAGGAGCAGCAGCAGGAGGAGCAGCAGCAGCACCAGCAGCTACGGGAACAGCAGTAAGGGGAGGCAGGAGCATGCAGGAAGGGGAGGAGGCAAGGGAGGCTCCAGGGAGGGGGTGGCGAAGGGCAAAGGGAAACTAACTGCTCTCTTTCAAGATGCTGTGAGGAGGCTCACAGGGGGGGCAGGGGAAGCAGCAGCGGCAGGAGTGAGAGTGACGGGGGGCACATGGTGGAGAGAATGAATGCTCAGGCGCACCCCCAGGGGGGGTTAGTGGCCACGCACACGCAGACACAGCCGCCTCAGTTACCTGCGTTCATGCAGCGACTTGCACAACATGGGCGGTAGCAGTGGCAGCAGCAGCAGCAGCAGGGGCGGCGGCAGTGGCGGCAGCAGCAGCAGTAGCATTAGCTGCAGCAGTAGCAGCAGCAGCAGTGGCAGCGGTAGCAGTAGCGGCAGCACCAGCAGCAGTAGCAGCAGCCGCAGCAGCAGCTGCAGCAGAGGCAGGAGCATGGGCAGGAGTGGGAGTGATGGGGGAAACATGGTGGAACGATTGAATGCGCAGGCGCACACCCAGGGAGGCTTGGTGGCCACGCACACGCAGACACAGCTGCCTCAGTTACCTGCGTTCATGCAACGACTTGCCTCACATGGCCGTTAGGAGTGGCAGCAGTAGGAAGGTTGTTGTGATAGATGCAAACACTCGCACGCGGACACAGCCGCATAAATTACCTGTGTTCATGCAGAATTTTGTGCCACATGGCCGTCAGGAGTAACAGTACCAGCAGCAGCAGTCGCAGTGGGAGCGGCAGTGGGAATGGGAGTGGAAATGATGGGGGCCACACGATGGGAATGATGGGGGCCACATGGTGGGAATGATGGGGGCCACATGGTGGGAAGAGTGAATGTGGCACACCCCAAGAGGGCTTGGTAGCCGCACAGATGCAGACGGGTGCCGCCGATGCCTGTGTTCATGCAGAAACTTGCGCCTGGTGGTCCATATGGGCGTTAGGGGGATGGCAGCAACAGCAGTAGGAAGGTTGTTCTAAACAGAGATACAAACACCAGATGCAGACCATGAAATTGAACAGAAATGTATTGCTTGAAACATACCGTATTCCCCCGTATAAAGCACCCTATGGTGTTAATAAAAATGCATGAAATTTTTGGGATGGGTGTAATTTAAGGCAAACAAGTGTCGACTAAATCGTCTTAGGGTTGCGGAGCTATCTTTGCCGGTTTGGCAATTTTATTAATGTTATTTTGCATTTAACATCGAGATTATGACTCTTATCATTTGATGTGATATTTTTTTACAATTGTGCATCAGTCTTATTATATTTCGTAATATACATCATTGTTTGTCATCACTGTACATCTGATGTTTTAATAGCGCAACACTTTTTTTTCCAGGTTTTCGGAAATCGAGAAATGCAAAAGGTGCCAGGTATCGAACCGAGGTCATCATTGAGCTACCCTTTATGCTATCCTAAGATATCAGCTCAGCAGAACTAAAATATTATTTTCAATTTATTTGTGACAAATCAGAATACTCCCTAGGGTTTCGTTTTTTTCTTGCCTCGTCCCCAGCCTCCCTTCTCACGTTGAAGTTTCAGCCACGCCACCTCGCCACCTAGTTTCCTACCCAACGTAAGTCGTTCTTGGTGTTCCCTTATCTATTTTTAAATTTGTTTTCCGTCTCTTTTAGTAAGGGGTATCAATCTCGTGATTGATGGGGGAATGGCAACGGGATTGATGGGGGGAATGGCGACGGACTTGACGGGGGGGATGGTGACGGGATTGACGAGGGAATGGCGACGGGATTGGCGACGGGATTGACGAGGGATTGGCGACGACGGCATTGACAGCGGGGGACGACGGGATTGATGAGGGGATTGGCGGGGACTCTCTCTCGCTCTCTCACTACCTCTTACATTTTGCCCCCTCCCCCCTCCCCATCTCTCTCTCTCTCTGTTTCTCTCTCTCTCTCTCTCTCTCTCTCTCTCTCTCTCTCTCTCTCTCTCTCTCTCTCTCTCTCTCTCTCTCTCTCTCTCTCTCTCTCTCTACCTCTCTTGCTCTCTCTATATATACCTCTCTTTCTACATCCTTCGTGATTTATGTTTTTGTCTCTCTCTCCCTTCTCTCTCTCTCTCTCTCTCTCTCTCTCTCTCTCTCTCTCTCTCTCTCTCTCTCTCTCTCTCTCTCTCTCTCTCTCTCTCTCTCTCTCTCTCTCTCTCTCTCTCTCTCTTTCAAGCGGTCCTTTGTATTGATTTGAAACGTTGTACATACTAGGCATGTGGGCAAACATCAGAGCCTATCAAAGGTACGTGCATACTGGGGGTGGGCGGCCGGACTACTGATGCTCCCCAAGGGGCTCTGCTATGGCAAAACAGTCCCCGAGGGCCATAATGGCATCCGGGGTACCCACGGGGGGGTACTCCGCCGGGGCAGCCTCGTTGACCTTCCCAAGGAAGGCCAGGGCCTGTGTCCGCTGGAGCGTGACGGACTAGCGCTGGCGGGACTAATGCAGAAGCTTCGCCGCCTGGTAGGAGCTCGGGTCCGCGTTGAAAAGCCGCCTTGCCCCTGTATCCGCCAGGAGCTTCAAAAAGCTGGGAACCTCGGCGCAGGGGCAGCCATAGGTCTCCACGGCCAAGGGGAAGAAACCGACCTAAGGTGCGCGGTTGCGGTAGTGGTCGATCTTCTTGTCGGCCTGCTCCCGGGCCATATATCCCCGCCCTTTTCGTGCGTGCGGGTCCCAGGTGCTGATGGGATCCGTGACAGTGACGTCACAGATCCAGACGGCACCAGAGTCCCTGTCGCGCATGGCTAAGTCGGCCTCATGACCGTCCACCGGACTGTAGATAGTGGTCTCCTTGGTGACGATGAACCCGGCATCCCGCGCCATACGGATGCATTCGTCGCGAAGTGCATTGTGGGTGTCTGTCCGGCCATGCCCCGTGCCGCAGCGGAAGAGGTGGTTGGGCAGGTGGGGGTCAAGGATCTCGGTCTCGTCTGCGCAGTTGCAGTTGCGGGGGGCTGGGAAGGGGAGGCCGAGACGGAAGGCGAGGGCGATAGCAAAGTGCGGTGGTCCGAGGCGGAGAGAGGGGAAGATGGGGATGGCATGAATTCAACTCCCCTGCCCAGTAACCTGCCAGGGAGAATAGGCGCTGGGTGTGGCCGGAGCAAGGGTTCAGTTCCATCCCGCGGGACGCTGCCACCTGGTCCGCATATCGGGCGGCTTGGACCTCAAGAGAGAGCCGGTGCTGGAGTGGGATTCCAGATGGTTCCTGGCGTTCGGACCGCAAGAGCTCTAGAGCACGGGTCGGCAGGGCCGCCTCACACCCTGCCAGCCAGTTATGGAGATGGTTGGGGCTAGAGAAGGGGGGGGGTGAGGGGGCGCAGTGCGGATGCCAGGGGCCCCTCGTTTGCTGCGGGCATGGCGGCGAGGAGGTGCTGCGCCTGGGTGACGCTAGTTAGGAAGGCTGCGGGGCCTTCGATGGCGGGGTCGGTGAGGCCCAGCCCGTTGAGCGAGGGCGGAAGTTAGGCCTGGGCCCAAGTTCGCGTGCGTTCGGCTTCCCCTCGAGGGGGTTGGAGGTTGCGCGCGCGGAGGAGGGTGTGGAATAGCCCCCGTCCCCACTCCGACCACTCGGTTTGTGGGAGGAGATCCAGGGGCGTGGTGCGGATCAGGTAGCTGACCCGCCGCGAGATGCATCGCGTAAGGAGGAGAGATGCCGATTGGGGGTCCATGGAGGCGATGGTGGGGAGTGGCTCGGCCAGCGAGGCTAGCTGGGAATGGAGGAAACTAGCTGAGCCCTCAGTTGTCCCAACAAAGCTCCCCAGCACTTGTAGCCCCTCGCTGTGGAAAGGGACGTCCGGGGGAATGGAGTCGAATGGGGGAGGTGAGGAGGACCACGCCCCACACTTTGAGGGGTTGTGCGTAAGGCCGATGGCCCCCACGGCGCCCGTGAAGTGGTGGAAGGCCGCTGTGCAGGCGGCCGGCTCGCCGACGAACGTCACGTCATCCGCGTAGGCGAGGCAGAGGACGTCGGGGTGGGTGGTAGCCGTAGATTGAAGCGCGGGGTGGATGGCCGCCGCAAAGAGCAAGGGGCCCATTGGGTCCCCTTGGCGGACGCCCCGTGCGCTCTGGAGTGGGGGGCTGGCGAACCCGTCGTTGAGTAGAAGCGAGGGGGTGCCATACGAAAATTGGATAAATGGTAACAACGGTCGCAGGGGTGAGGCGCCGATGGCGGTGATGATCGCCCCTCGCTCAACGCTATTAAACGCGTTTGTGAGGTCCACTTGGACGACCAAGGTCGCCGGATTTGCGGAGGTGAAAGCCCGAGTGGCGTGGATGATCGCTTCCCTGCCGCTCCGAATTGCGACGCCGTACTGAAGGGGCAGAAAAAATTCTTGTGCGTGCTGGGTGGTCAAGATGAGGGCGGATTTTGCGGCGAGGCGATGGAGACATTCGCCTATAGCTATGGGGCGTGAGCCACCATCAGGCTTGCGAAGGGCTAGGAGGCGTGATGCTGTAAGCAGCCGGCTGACCTCCTAGGGCAGGTTACTAGCAAGGAGGAGCAGCACGATTTCGTGCAGGAGCTTAGCGACGTGTGGACTGGTGAGCGAGGCGTCACGCAGGTGTTCGAATGTCATCCCCGAAGGGCCGGCTCCCACCCCATTTTCGCTTCGCGAAAGTAGGCGAATGAAATCGGCGAAGTCGAGCGCGAGTGGGTTGACGTCGTCCAGGGAGGGCCACGTGAGGTCCTCCGTCAACGGCCGCGGGTGTTTGAACTTCAGCAAGTCAAGGACCTCCGGGGTTGACTCGCTGACTGGGGTCGACTGGAGTGCCAGCACGGCACGGCGAAGACTGCCTCGTCGCACCAGCCCCTCAGCTTGGGAGATTTTCCCGAGGTCGTCACGAACATGGCGAGGGGGTGCAGGCAGTGCGACAGCTGCTGCAGCTGACTGGTAGAGGGCGTCCCACTGGCCCGCGAGGAACTGCTGCAGACGATATTCCATCGCTGTCCAGTCCGGTCGTTTGGGCGAGGACATGCGAAGAGTTAGGCGGGAGAGAAATAGTAACAACTGCCAGCCCCCGATGGAAGTTGGATTTTTCGCGAGGAAAAGGAGGGGCGTCAGCAGGGCCAGCGCGAACAGCTGACGAATAGGGGCGGGTAGTCGCCTTGAAAGAGGGGGCTGGCGACTGTCGCACAGCACCGCGATATCCCAGCTGGCTATTTGGGCAAATCGTGAGGCATCGCTGGCCAGTTCCTCCGGGGAAAATTGCCTGGCTGCCTGGGAGGGAGCGTCCAGTGGTGTCCGAACATTTGGTACTCCCACCAGTCCGGTACTCTCTCTATACCTCTCTTTCTATCTCTTTCTTGATCTCTAATTCTCTCTCTCTCTCTCTCTCTCTCTCTCTCTCTCTCTCTCTCTCTCTCTCTCTCTCTCTCTCTCCCTCTCCCTCTCTCTCTCTCTCTCTCTCTCTCTCTCTCTCTCTCTCTCTCTCTCTCTCTCTCTCTCTCTCTCTCTCTCTCTACCTCACTTGCTCTCTCTATATACCTCTCTTTCTTCCTCGTTCTAGATCTCTCTCTCTCTCTCTCTCTCTCTCTCTCTCTCTCTCTCTCTCTCTCTCTCTCTCTCTCTCTCTCTCTCTCTCTCTACCTCACTTGCTCTCTCTATATACCTCTCTTTCTTCCTCGTTCTAGATCTCTCTCTCTCTCTCTCTCTCTCTCTCTCTCTCTCTCTCTCTCTCTCTCTCTCTCTCTCTCTCTCTCTCTCTCTCTCTCTCTCTCTCTCCCTCTCTCTGTTTCTCTCTCTCTCCATCTCTCTCTCTCTCTCTCTCTCTCTCTCTCTCTCTCTCTCTCTCTCTCTCTCTCTCTCTCTCTCTCTCTCTCTCTCTCTCTGAACATGCCTGAGACAGACATACCTACCTGCCCTCACCCAAATTTTTTCGTCCAAATCCCCAACGGCCAGAGTCAAGTCCTTTCACACACCCCCGCCCCGCAACCTATATAATCTGGCTAAGTCCTAGCAGCCAGAGACAGCTCCCCCCAGCACAACCAGCAGCGCGTAAAAATTGTTGAAGTCCTGTTCTAGAGACACCCCTCTCATACCCCCAACACCCACAAAAGACTGACTATGTGACTAAGACTGACATACTGCA